ACTTCAGATATAGGACTTGGAACAATGGAGCTGGAACTGACCTAGAAGCTTCCTCCCTAAAGACTGGCTCCCATGGTTTTAGAGAATACTATGCAAGCTGCTAAGGGAGAACATCAATCAAATGTCCAACCCCAGCTTTAAGGCCTAATAATCACAACAATGACCAGCACAGAAAACTATATTGGGACAGCAGTGGTGCTTTTATCTTGGGGGTAATCAACAGCTACCTAATCGCACCTAAAGCCCACACAATGGGAGGGAGCTCATGTGTGGTACTGTAAGAATAGCCAAATTCACATGGCTGGAGAGGTCATAGATCCTAGAGAAAACTCCAAGGTTGTCACATCCCTAGACAAATGTTATTTCTTACTGTGTGCTAACTATGGTCTTTATATTTACAGACAAGTATGCTAGTTACCACTCATCAAAGAAGCCACCTCTGACTTTTAAAATAAGTCTTCGTAATTAGTAAAGCAAATCTTGTCCATTTTGTTCTTAAAATTTCACTCACCTTATTCTTCAAAGATGCTTGGAAGAGCCAGTTTTCTAGACTATCTTGTGTTTAAGGCGTTTTCTACGTTTGGTGATTGAGCTATAGCTCAAGCCCATTCCAATTAGTGGTCCAAAAGAGCTTCTTAGAAACCAAAGAGGAACCTGGTACACAACAAGACCCCTAGAGCAAGGACTTACATCAGCTACATCTCTGATGAACTTAAGGAATATGATTTACAAACAACAGAATACACATAGATCAGAAAATTTTAGGGTATGGGCTGGCAAGAAAGACCTGAGTTTGAGCCCTGGGTTTCACATGGTAGAAGGAGAGAACTGACCTCCTACAGTTGTTCTCTGACTTCCACATGTTTCCTGTGGTATGTGCCTATCCCCCAATAAATGTATCAGAAAGTTGTAAACAGTGCTAATGCTATGTGCTAACATGAAAAAAAAATACACACCAACAATTAGCACTTACCTCCTTTTCGTTCAGTGGAGGAAAGGAGATTTCTTTTCATACTAGAAGGTAACAGAGGGGTAGAAGTTCATCCCCCAATGACCCACAGTTTAGAAGGGAGCATTTTAAAAATAACAAGCAAGACAACCCTTTCAACTTAGAATGGTTAACCTCCAGAAACACACAGATTTTTCAGTTCTACTATTTAATAAAATTATTAGAAATGTCTCTAATGGTGACTAGAGATAAACACTATTGATATCTATACCACATGAGCTGTATATAACATATCGGCTATAACAAACAAATAGGAATTTATCTCAAAATCATAGAGATGTGCTTTGGGATCTACCCCAAAACAGGTTAATAATTGGTGGGAAACATTTAAGAGCAAGTAACTTTTTAATTATATATATCACTGATTTACAAAATTACCAATTTGTATCATGAAATGTAACGCATAAGGAAGTATTTGATTTTGTGAATTATGTATGTACTTGTTTATAAAAGATCGGATTAGACAGTGACCCAAGTCTTTTTTTCTACTACTATTGCATATTTCCTGTTTTGGAGATGGTGGTGAAAAAGAGACGTGATTCACCACGGCTGTCTACTAACTAGTCATAGAACGTCTACAAAAAGAGACGTGATTCACCACGGCTGTCTACCAACTAATCATAGAACGTCTGCAAAAAGAGACGTGATTCACCACGGCTGTCTACTAACTCGTCATAGAACTTATGTAAAAAGAGATGTGATTCACCACGGCTGTCTACTAACTAGTCATAGAATGTCTGCAAAAAGAGACATGATTCACCATGGCTGTCTACTAACTAGTCATAGAACTTATGTAAAAAGAGACGTGATTCACCACAGCTGTCTACTAACTAGTCATAGAACTTATGTAAAAAGAGACATGATTCATCATGGCTGTCTACTGGTCATAAAACGTCTGTAAAAAGAGATGTGATTCACCACGGTTGTCTACTCACTAGTCATAGAATGTCTGCAAAAAGAGACATGATTCACCATGGCTGTCTACTAACTAGTCATAGAACTTCTGTAAAACCCATTTTCTGGCCTTTCATCACCTGTACCATATGCCTTTAAAAAGGTGACTCCACAGAAAATCAAGCAGACTGTGGCTTCTGTCCCAAGAAAACATGAAGTTCACTACAGATATGTTTAAAACGGTACATAAGTCAAAATGATAATGGTACCAGCAACGGCAGGTGTATTTTGAAAAGGAAAGAATCCCTGAAGGATTCCTGGAGACTCAAGTCCATAGGGATGACCACCGGGCAAAGAAAGGCCAAATGGACCATGTCTAGAAAAGGTGAATGGTGGGAGAATATGAACAGTCCCAACTCTGAGCTTTATTGAGAAGGAGAAAGAGGAGGAGGAAGAGGAAGAAGAGAAGGGGGCAGGGAAGGAGGAGGAAGAGGAGGCGCAGGAGGAGGAAGAGCAGAGGGTGGAAGAGCAAGAAGGAGGCAGCCACCTCAAGACTATCTACCACCAGTACAGCAGCACAGGGTATGGGGGGTATTGGGTCAGTGAGAAATCAAACAGCACATGTTCTGACTGGACCTGGAATAAGAGACCAGATGTGAGCCAAGTTTAAGGGTCTTAGCTGTACAGTTTGCTTTCAAAAACAGTTTCCCCCCAAGTCTAGTCCCTGACTTACTTAGGAGAGCAAAAAGCAGGCCACAAGTAAAACCGGCTCCTCCCTCCACAGAAGCCTGATGTTAAATGATTAGGAAACTTCACAATTTAGAAGTTAAAAGCTAAAAGTTGAGTTTTCTCCTAATAGAAGCCAGAATCCTCTGCAGGTGGAGGGCTACAGAAACTTGAGACATTTGTGGCTTGGCACTTGATGGGTTCTGTTCTGCTTTTCTCTTTGCCTGGCTAGGCAATGTTGGCCAGTTCTGTGATGGTGCATTTTGCCAGAAAATTCACATTTTTGTAGGACCCAGTTGGGAGGCTGGGAGATTTGTCAAAAGTCTACCTAGGCAACACACAGCAGGAACTTGCAGAGGGTGAAAAAAGAATACCTTGGAGATTAGCAAATTTGCACTGAGTGGAACCAAAGATGCACTCTGGAAGCAAGTAAGTCAGTGATCACCTGGGGAAGGGCAAGCTGGAAGCAGGACGAGGGCCACCCAGGCCCTTTCATGACACCATTTGCTACAGGGTAGTTGCAAAGGCTCCTGCAGTCACATTGATACTGAGCAGCTCCTTCCTCTGAATTAAACCGATCCCTTTGCAGAGGGAAGGGAGGCACAAACACTTAGGCCACTCAGGAAGTTCACAGAATTTACAAGACTCCAAAGCTCGTAATGTTAAAAGACTTGAGTCTCTTCTCCAGGGTTATATAAGCAGTAAGCAGTGGCGGCAGGGGCAGGGGGGGTAGAGTTTCTAAAAGGTATGCAGGGGACTCCAGAGATGCCTTTATGAGATGTCTCCCATGCTGGGGTGGAGGCAGCTGCCTCTGAGTCCCCATGCTCCAATAAATGTATTGGTTCACCATACTAGATTTGGGTGGGATCTTTTCTTTGGTCTGTGGTTGATGTCTTATATGGCACAAATAAACATTTTTTCATGTCTTTCCATTAAAAGACACACAACATCTAGGCTACTTGGATCATAGCCCAGACTACACCCATCTAACATGGCTGAAACTACAGGTATCTTATTAGTTCTTAGAAATTGGGGAATACAGTTGTTCAGATTATCAGTGCACAGTAAAGTAAGGGCACATGCAGAGTTCACTTTAGTAGATGTCAATTTGGGGTTCATAAGTCTGCCTAAGGAAGTGATCTAAAGCTACTCACACAGCACCCTCACCCCTCCCCACACAGGTAAAGTGCACACCACATGTGTAGAATATATTGTTTCTCTCCAGTCTGGGGAGTCAAGAGCCCAGATTAAGACTTAAGAATGCCTGTTTTAGAGTAACAGAAAACCCTCATTCAGGCTAGGTCAGACTGGAAGTGCTACTTCTCTTGAAGAAAGGCGGGATCTGAAGGCCTACGGATGAACTCTGGTAGAACACTTGCCTAACACAAGCCAGGCCCAAGGTTCTACCTCTAGCACTGCAGAGAAATAATCTTTTAGAACGGAGGTTTGTGTGCTATAGAGAATGTAGCGGGAAGAGCCACTGAGGCACAGGCTGCTGGTGCTGACCCAAGGACAGTCCAGGACTAATCCTGGTAGAAGACTCTGACACTCCTGCTCCTAGACCTGGCTTTACCAAGTATAGCCTTTATGTAGCAGAAAGACATACCTAACAATTTCCCACAAATCCCTTCTCTCAGACTCCGCAGTCACCTCACAACCACGTGACTGAAAGTTGTTCTTTCCTATAGATCTGCCCACATCAAGTGCCAATCTTCCCAAGATGAGCATTCCAGTGTTCATGGCAGTCACAGTCCACACTGGAGACAAGCAAGGTGGTATTGTATCTTAGACAATAGCCTGTGTGTGTGTGTGTTTATGTGTGTGTACATGCTACTGTGTGTTTGTGTATATATGCACATGCTAATGTGTGTGTACATGCTGGTGTGTCTATGTGTGCATGCAGATACTTGTGTATGTGGAGGCTGGAGGCCAACATTAGGTTCTTTCCTAACTCACATTCCACTTTATTTTTTGAGGCAGAGTATCTCACTAAATGTGGAGCTCACAGATAAGCTAGTCTAGCTGACCAGTGAACCCCAGGAGTCTGTCTTTCTCTGCCCACCACTCTGCAGTGCTGGGGTTACAGATGCATGCTACTGCACTGAACTTTTTTATGTGGGTGCTTTGGATCTGAACTTAGGTCCTCATGCTTGCAGGGCAAGCACTTTACCAACTGAGCCATTGTGTCATCCCTGGCATTGGTCTTATGAACTGGCATGAGCTCGCTTTTGAGGATTAGATCCATGGTGAGTGTGCTAGAAATCAGAATGGTGAGCCCATTAGGTTGATGTATGTGACACTAAAATGCCAGCTTTCAACTGCTGACAACTGGCTGTCCAAATAGCCTCCCACTGGAAATGATAATACTTACCTTTTACGGGACAACGGATTGTCACATTTGCTTGAAGGGCTGCTTCCACAGTGCCTCCCACCAGGACAGACAGATGGTTGTGTTCCGGTTTGGTGATATTTCTTTCAATAGACAAGATGACAGGTGCCTCTTAATTCAAAGGGAGCAGGAAACTGTGTTAGGTTTGGCTCTTGCTTTTTGGTAAGCATTGCTGAGCTCACTGAAAGCAGGAGAAAGTGCTGGTCTTTTTATCCCTCGTGGTGCACCACATGGACATACACATACATAGCTAGAGGTTCTCAGTGCAAGGATGGATGGATGAATGGATGGATGGATAGATGGACAGATGGAGGCGTTTAAAGGTACACTGTGACAATCACAAATAAATTGAGGCTATTTTAGTTTCATAATGAAAATCAAGCATACTTCATCTTTGATAATTTCAAAATGAATGAATTCAGTTCCAAAGAAACCAAGAAGGCGTGGCAGAGAAGGAATGACTTCTCTCACATGCAGCCTTATATGAGCTGATGCAGACCTAAAACAACAGGGTTGTGACCACCTGACACTTTATGGAAGGGTGGATGTGAGACAGGGCAGTAGATCTCGATCCATCTTATTGGCCCATGTTAGGTGTTATCCTAGTGGAGAAGTCTCTGCTCTAAGAATAAGCCAAGGTTCTGCTCAGCTCACATATGTACAAAGTGCCCCATCATGCTCTTTTCTCAGAAGTAACAAGGATTAGAAATAGTTTTTGGTTGATAATCACAAAGACTACCAGGGCAAAAGGTGATACAAGCAGGCATCTGGATAACAATGTGGTTTCTAAAGTATCTCATATATGGTTTTTCTTTAGGGTTCGGAGTCAGGCAGATATAACAATTCCAGAATAAAATTAGATTCAGAGGTCATCCAAAGCTGTACTGGAAAGATCAGGTGGACAGGAGGCCACGTTTCTTGTTGAGTCTCTTCTAAAAATATGCATATGTGTTTGGGCAAAATCCTGCTGGCCTTTAGTTGGAATCCCAGCAAAAGGACTGAGATCTCATATTCATTCTTTCACCTACAATGTGTGGTTCACAGATGCTCCTTCTTATGCTATTTAAATAAATTCACCTTCACTTAAAATAGAAAGGCTATTACTATTCAAAGACCATCAACTGCTAAGATGCTTACTTAAAATATTGTTTACACCTCTCTACACCGTAGAAATGATCAATTTATGAAACTGTTTGAGGTTATTGGATAAGCACTGTTTGGAAGAGAAGTTCAAATTTGGCATGTAAATTAATGTGAAACAAGTAAGATGTGCATTAGAAGAAATAATAAAAACATAACCACAGAGTCAAGAAGAATTTGAGGGCTTTCACATCCTTGGATTTTGATGATTAATGGGTTAATTTTTTAACTCAGAAAACATGCTTTGTCCATCTGTGCACATTTGTGTGAGATGGATAATGGAAATGCAGGAAAAGAACACACATTCCTGCCCTCAAGAAGCTCACAGACTGGTGGGAGACATCATCGCTACACAGAGTGATGGACATTGAGACAGAAAGAGGCTTGTTGCACAAGGGTGTCTCAGAAGCTTGTGAGGGTTAGAGAAGGCAAAGCACTTTGACAGAGAATACCTCTATTGTAGCACTATTGCAGTGGTTGGTTTTCCTATTGTGACATTATTAAGCAAGCTTCTAAGACGACCTATTTTATCATCTATACACTGTTAACACATGAGAGAATTAGGGCAGTTCAGCTAGATAGATGGGTAACTGCACATTTGTGAGGAGAGAATCTAGGAAAGTCATCTTTGGGTGGGGGTACAGAATGCTCCATTCTTTTCTGCAGTGCCTGGGGCAGTGGAAAATCATCCTGAGGAAAGATCAAAACCTTTCAGCTGGGAGGGGTCTTGGTTGTCACAGCTCACCCCTGGCTCATGAGGACCCCATATCGGCTCTTTCCGGAAACTGGATTATTTTGGGATGGACTTAAGCGTGTTGGTGGAGGATAGGTTTCCTATTGGCCACAAGAACTGCATGAAACTGAGCTTTCTTGAGAGAAGCTCATGCTCACGGGACAGAAAAATCTAGGAGAAAAACAAAGGCCTGAAGGCTTTACCTTGAGGAACCAGCCAGAGGAAGGCTCAGCATCTTCTAGCTATATAAACTCAAGAACCTTTCAAAATCAATGTGCCCAGTTTTCTCAGCTTGTCGATGAGAAGTGCCTGCCCCTAAATTCACCATTTAGGTGACCAAACGCCAGGCTCTAATCCCTCATGCTATACCTAGTCTCACCTTGATTCATTTGAGCCATGGAGAACAGAAACCAGAGCAACGAGCTCGTTTATTTTTCAGTCCCAGAATACGAGTTTGCCACAGGAATTGCTGCCTACATATTAACCAGCTAAAGATGTTCTTTTATAATAAAAACACACTTTGCTATCCAAATGGCAATGCCCAGCTCCTATGAAGATGTATGTTGTGTAAAGTTACAACCTCTGGAGGTGCTGGCTAAGGGTTAGCAGGCATGCTGCTGAAAGGAGGAAGCCAACTTTAAAGAATCAACAAATAAACAGAACAAAAAATAACCAACCAATCATACAAACAAAAAAGGAAAATCTAAAATATCAATACCACCAATTTACCTCCATCTCATTAATTCCTAATTCATTGAAAGTAAGCTTTAGAGAAACTATTTCCAGAGTATCAGTGGAACCTAAGAATATTCAAATACCATGTGTCAGACTCATCCCAAACATACTGAGGCAGAACTCGAGGGTAGAATCCAGCAACCTGTGTTTAAACAAGCCCCCCCCCCACCCCCAGGTCATTGTGATACACACTCAAGTTTTAGAGTTCTAGAGTTTCAGGTTAAAGACAAAACTACAAAACCCCCAGACATTTTAAGTTTCACTCATAGGCATTACCTGCATACAGCACAGATGAACTTTCTACATCCGAACCAAGACGATTAGCTACAGAGCATCCATATATTCCTTGCTCTTTCCTTGTAGGATTTTGTATCTGTATCTTCCCAGTTCCATCCAAAATGATCCTGTAGAACAGTTAAAATGAGGATGCCTTCAGGCAACACATGTAACTGCATCACAGCAAGTCACAGAGAATGTAGACTGCAAAATTATTGGCTTTCATCTAGCAGATCCCTACAGGTGATTGTATCTGGGCCTCTGCCTATAGAAGAAAGTAGTGTAATCAGTCAGGAAGGCTTTTCTGTGGCCTTAGGTTCAGAGAACCCTTAGAACAAGCTGGGGCTGGACATCCTGGCTTCAGTCTTAATTTACACAAAAATGGAGATTTCTGATATATCCAATGCTTAATTTGGCACACTTTAAAGAAGACAAACCAAGCTGAATATGGTGGCATGTACCTTTTGTTCCAGGGCATGGTGGCACACACCTTTAATATCAGCACTCCAGCAGCAGAGGCAGGCAGATCTCTGTGAGTTTGAGCCAGGCTGGTCTACATAGTGAGTTCAGGTCAGTCGGTGCTACAAAGTGAGACCCTGTCTCAATAAATAGATAGATAAATAAATAAATACCCAGCCAACATATCATAGAGATACTTGCATATCAATGTTACTGCAGCATTACTCATAAGAGCTAAGTTACAGACCTAACCTAGATATCCAACAGTGGAGGAATGATTAAGAAAAATATGGAAATATATAAAATGTAATTTTTTCAGCCACAAGGAAGCACAAAGTTATGTGCAGGAAAATTAATCCAACTGGAGATAATTATACTGATATGGGGGAAGTTGTGGACCCCTCTTAGGGTTCTTTAACTCGTTAATAAAAAAACGTAAGAATGGACTCAAATAGAAGCTATGCGTACTACCTGAAGAGAAAATTAGTCATTAGCTTTAGCCAGCTGTGAATCTTGTGAGCTACAACAACCAATCTTGCAAGATATGTCCACTGGTGCAACAGTGGCACAAACATTATGGAGTAAGCAATTATTTTCTCAATGGCTTTAGATCCACTTCAAAGGACAGAGTCCATATCTGACACTTATACAGGCTTAGGAACCTGAGGCTATATAGCCTATAGACGATGAGAGAAATAGAGAGTATGAAACTGATTTCTAATGGCTTATTGTGATACCCATAGATTAAGGCATCTCTCAACTCTCAGCAGAGAGGCACCCTTATACATCAGATGGTAATTAGCACAGAGAACCACAACTTGTCAACGTGCAGAAAAAAGTCTTCAGAGTGCTTAACCTCGAATAGGAGACCTATATCAAACTTCTGTTTCCAAAGGCTCCAAAGGGATCATTGCAAAAAAGGGATGGAAAGATTGTCAGAGCCAGAGGAGGCGGATGATCAGAAGGAAACAGTTTTCCAGACAATTTATCAGTTATTCATATGAACGCATAGCAGTGGTGACAGCATGGATAAGTCCCACATAAGCTCAAGCCAGACAAAATCCAAGCATAGACACAGGGAAGCATGTAATAAGCCCCAGTCTTACCCGAGGAACTATTAGCAACTGATGGATGCTAGGAAAGGGAGACTCAGTCTTATTTAAGGGTGAGATTCTTAGTAGGTTGAGCCAGCTCCAGTGAACAAACCCACACCAAAGGGCATTTGGGGACACAAATTTGACTCCATTTACTTATAATCCTAAAACCAATATGAATATCATATCTAATCAGATACATCCTAAACTAACTAGATAATTGTTCAGACAAGTGAGAAAAATTCTTTATTCTGCTATAATTTTAATTTCATTCATTCTCCATTATTTGAATCTGCTTCTAGACCTCTATCAGTGGCCTACATATCATTTATTTCATGAACACACTTCACAAATCTTAGAATGCGGACTGTTCTGGCCTCTGGATACTGTGCTTCTTCATGAACTCAGTTGGGGCATTTCTTTATTTCAGGTCACTTGCCCTGGGAAAAGCCATAATAAAGTTCTGTTTCCAGGACCTTTAATGATCTTTTGTCATCCTGGGCTTCTACAGATCTTGTTTACATTGACTGAATGGTCTTCTCTCTTTCTGGAAAACTGTAGCCTACCTCTAAGCCCTGGATCCCATGGAATTTCCCCTGTGAAGCCTCCCCCAAAGCTCCTGCAGATACTGTCTACTTACGAGGGCTCCTCCTGTTCTGCTTTATGTATTTACTTGATGGAGTAGCAATTTCTTCCCATTAGACTGTGACCTTTCCAAAGGCAGGAGCCAATCTTCTCACAGCTGTGCATTCTCAGCACAGTGAGCTTTACACAACGAGTTGTCAGAAACCTTTGATGACTGGATGTAGGAATGATTAAAAGCTCAGAGCAACAGCAGAAAGGTGTGGTGCACACAAACAAAATATGCAAGAGTGGCTAACGTGCTCCATGGCAGCAGGCCTCTGTCAGAGCCCACACTCTGTAGGGATAGATGATCCAAATACACTATGTACATGTATGAATAGTCATAATGAAACCCATTGTGTGTATAATTAATGCTAATAATATAAAAAAGAGATCCTATTCTGGAAGAATAATTAAAAGAACCCAGAAGTCAGTAAGCATATGAAAATGGTTTCTTAAGTTTGTATGATTTAGTAATTCTCAACGGTTTCCTTTGTTTCATGCATCACAATTTAATAGCCCAGAGAAGTCAATGAGCTGTGGAATCATGGAGGACACATGAACTTTCCATTCCAGGTGAGGTCACCCAGGTGCCAAGGCTGGATCAGACCCTTGGCTAGAGAGCCAGCAGGTAAGTCCCTGACGGATCTCACCTTGGCCAAAATGCACAATCTTACTTTGAAGTAATAACACAGCTGACCTTTCTAGAAACATCCTCCCTCAATGGTCCCCCCCATAGTCTTCCCTCCTGGTTGAGCTTTCTTTATTTGACTCTCACAAATGGCACTCCACAGCCGTATGGCTTCCTCTTCTTGGATAAGGCTCTCAGAAGCATAATTCCATTCAACTGAAAAGATTTGGGATTCTGAAGAACATCTAAGTATGAGAACATCAATGGCATAAGTTTCAGAGAAAACTAAAATACAGATGGACCTTATTCTCTTAAAAATTGAAAAGGAGGGTCTGGAGAGATGGCTCAGCAGTTAAGAATACTGACTGTTCTTACAGAAGACCCAGGTTTGAATCCCAGCACCCACACGGCAGCTAACAACCGTCCATAACTCCAGTCCCACAGGAATCTGACAGCCTATTCTGTCCTCCACAGGCACTGCACAACATGGGTGCACTTACCTACATGCAGGCAATACACGCATACACATAAAATTAAAATAATAAAGTATTTTTAAAAATTGGAAAGGAAACTGTGACTAGACAGACGGAATTTCTTCAGTGTTGAATGGCTGAGTCTGCAGGATGCAGAAACACATCTCAGTGGAATATATCTCCTCAAAGCATGGTCATCCTGTGGGCCTTCAAAATCTCAGCCTCAGAAACTTTGTTTAACTCTAGTCTGTCAAATTAAATGCCTTCTAATCAACTCCAACAATTGTTTCTTTAACTCTACCTCATCCTTCACCATATCACTGCAGTGCCTCTCAGCTGTAGGTCACAGGATCATTTTAGCTTTCTCAGCCTCTGTTCCCTAAAAACTTGTACAGTGAAATAGTTGAGCACATCGGGCATCTTCAAAGGCCAGTTCATGGACCCCATGGGTCAGTGAAATGACAACCATTTTCATAATAATCCTCAAACACATTCGCCTTGGTGGTGTTGGGCAGTGATGGGATACTGCTGGTGCTTGGGCATGGACCAAGGCATCATCACCCGGTACTGACAGTCATCATGTGGACAACTACACACTTGCAGTAAAAAAAAAAAAGTATTTTTTCACTAATAAGTGTCAATGAAGAAGTGACACTGGCTAATTTTACTGGATCTCAGCTCTGGGTCATAAGTGTTTTCAACATCTACATGATAGACAGTAAACACATGCAAAGCTCGCTACAGGCTGAGGAATGTTGGTGGGGTTGAATCGCTGCCTAGGTAGCTGATTTTTAATGGAATGTGATTTTTATTTCAAAGAATGATTAGAAGTCTTCACTATACTCTCAGCTTGGATGTTTGGGGGCCTATGT